AGCCGGAGTACCTCTCCGAGAGCCCCTCCACCTTGGTGTCGGTGGCTTCCTCCCCGACGACCTCTCTTAGTTTCAACGACTTCTCGTGGCCATCAGGTACCTGATTCCAGCGAGCAGTGCGTGGAATTGACAAGTCTGCAAGTGAGATAGCTGACAGGTAAGCCTGACGCCATACCGCAGAAAACTTCAGCGAGTATCCTTTAACTGTAACTGGCACCAAGGCAGTTCCGTAGCAATCTGGAATGCCGGGATGCCAGAAGGTCCGTGATGTGGTTGAGGTACAGCTGCAGGAAGGAAGCCTGAACCTTGCTACTACTTTGTCTATCTGTGGCTCTAGGGGTGTAGGTTTGTGTGGGCCCCCCGTGCCTTGTTACCTTTGCCAGTAAAAGTATTGCAGCATGACAACTGGTCATAAGATGCCACACATGCCAGCAGTACGTGCTGCAATCCTGCTGCTTACCCTGCGCTTGCTTCTCCCCCAGCTGATAAGTACCTATTTCCAGGCTGTCAGGTTCATCCAGGAATCCATGAGATTTAGGATTGCTCCAAAGCTTCTACTTCCTAAGGTGTAGTGTAGCCCTGTAGACCCCCACCTGCAAGCACCAGCATGTGGCCCCTTTGGGCCTCAATCTGCGATCCAGAGAGAGCAGCTTCAGAGAAGAGATGCCCAGCAGCCTCCACAAGCCCCCCAGCGCATGGGGAACGTAGGGATGTTTTGTTTTATGGAATGTCCATGGGTAGGTGTATAGTCAGGGAGGGCTGCATACTTTCTATCTCTGACTTGGATTCGGCAAGATGAGGAGACGAAGAGATCTTTGAGGTCAACACGTGATGATCTCGCATCCCTAAGCGCATCTGTGTCAGCAACTCTAAAATCAAAGCGTATCATGAAAAGGCATTTGCCATCAGACTTCCTTGACCCTATACTAAACCGGTCCTTTTGCCCATTAACCTATTGGGCAACCCTGGGGAAGCTAAGAAATAAAAATCTGTTTCATCTCATCAGCCAGACCAACCGGCAAGTATACTTCAGAGTGAGCAACTGGCAAGACACATGCAATCCCAACCAGCCAAATAGAAGGCTGCAACAGCCATTCGACAATCGCTCAACCCTCTTTTGGGGGGTTTGGGCTTGCCAACAACCCCTTCTTAAAAATGTGGCCTTGAGGCAGAGACCTGGACGATTTCGGTCCTCAGCTCCGCAAACCAAGTCCTCCTTCAAAACCTGGAATCCCGTGAGTATTGCCTTCTATCCCTGAAATGTCCACCACACTGATACCTATGCCTGGGATACCCCGAGTAATGCTCACCATTCCAGAATACCCATCATAAGCCGTGCGCAGGAGCACTGCTAGAGAACAAGGGCTCTGCAACGACACCACAACCTCCAAACTCCCTTTCTGATCAACTCCCTACGGCAACGAGTTCCCTACAGGTCTGCTTCGAAGACCCGACGTACAAAAGAGAGTTCTGCAGACGATGCCCCGGGATCCCAACGATTCGTAAGGTCCATGCCTCCATTCCCTTACCAATTAAATTCCACTTAAGTTTTGGGGGCTTGATGTGCTCCTGGGCAACCGCGATTTCCGCTTCATGCAACTTTGTCCAGATCTGGGCCCTTCTCAGATTTGTAGTGATTCGCATGCTGCTCTGGGTCCAGAACTTGCTCGACCCTTTTTTCCTGAGGCACCATGATCTGACAACGGTGTGCCAGCGACCCCAAAGGCTTCGCGGCTTGCCTTTGTTGGCTTGACGTAACGATTAGCGCCAGTTCGCACTGCTTGCAACAAAATCCTCACAGAAAAGCCTGGACGAAGTTCCGCATCCCCTTATTCTCCCTTTTTCAAGCTGGCCCATGAAACGCCCAGGTTCGCCAACCATGGTATGTGTCTTCCCTGTAGAAGTCTGGCCATAGGCCATGATGGCAGCATTGAGGCCAAGCCTGGGTGTAACATCTTCAAAGGAATTTCTTCTGCTAACGTCGTATGGGAACGAGAAGGGAGAGGGCTTTGTGGCACGACATACGTCGAGAAGAACGAGACACCAACGGTACTTGGGTGGCTTCCCCATGGGATTCGGCAAAGGGGCTTCACTCACTTCCAAATGGCATTCTTCGTCGAGGAGGCCAGTATAGACCTCATGTTACCACATTACCCGCATTAGCCTTTGTTGATCTTTGTTGGCCATGTATGGCGACTTCCCACCTGCAAGCCCAAGTCCCGTACACCCAAATTGAGCTTCACCTGGTACATCTGCTAGTCATGGCCGATTTTGGACGTACCGTCTTGAATTCAGACCACACTGACATTTCGGAAGCGCATAAAGATTATGGGAATGTCTTTCGGAACCAGCCAAGTCAGACAATAGAAGGCGCCAGGACGTCCGGGGAGCGTTGGGTTCTGTGTTGATGCAAGGCCATGAACTTGTCCGGGTGCATTCATGACTGGCATACATACCCACGTCCATACAATGAAGCCTCGAGATCTATAGCTACTACCCTACGTAGGCCTCATATGTCTTCTTTTGCCATCACCAACTCGAGAGCTTTCAACTCAACACTGCATCCTCGCCCAGCAACAGTACGCCGTCCACGGCCTCCTGGCCAGCAATCTGGAAGACATCCTGCAATTGGCCGGTGCCGGGAGCTGTCGATTTTACGGTCGGTGTTGAGGGCGAGCTCTATGACACACTCACTACCCCCTTTCACCCTTTTCCACCTGGGGTCCGTGCAGCAGTGCCTACCCCACACCCTCTTTTGGCAGCCACCAACGCTGCTTCAACTTTCCTACGTCTGCTTAGAGCCCTAAGGCGCCCGCCCGGTTGACGATCTGCTATGACTACGTTCTTGCTCTCGTACCACTTTTTGCAAGACATGCCTTGCCTATGCCATACCTGGTGCCTTCAAAGAGTCCGAGCCCCAGCCTCTTGAGAGGCATCTTGGTCCAGGAGGCCGTCGAAGCCAGGATAGGCTTTGATGCCATCCGGGAGGGGGTCATCCTTCCAGGATGTTTTCTAGCATGGGGCTCGAAGCTTGGGTGCAGAGAGCGAGGAAAGTCCCATCCTTGCTACCGATCAGCACGGGCTTGTCTTCGGTACTGATGTAGACCCGATCATGCGCGATGGCCATGCAGCCATGGTAGGTACCTCAAGCTGTTGAGACTAGTGCCCAAATGTCTCGTGTTCATGCAGCATGCCAGTCACTGAAGTCCCTAGCTATGCATCTTGGGGTCAGAGCAGGGTGTGGTTCATAGATTTGCTCCTTTGAAGCCAGCGCAATCTTGCATTGTTCATGTGTGCAGCGACCTGCTGAGAGCTTGGGAGTCCGTCCGAAGCAAGGTCCCATCGCGGCTGTAGGAGTTACGTTGAGGTTGCATAGGCCATAGGGATGCTTATGCATACTGTGATGTTGGGAAGGACATCTGAGGCCAGAGCCATGTTCAACCTCTCGCTCCAAGACTGGCCGCACACGAACCTAGGTCTTCGCATCTGTGACATGTCGCTGTACGCCCTTGGCCGGCTGGGACGCGAGAATGTGGGGAGGCGGTTGGGGTGCTGCAGGTGGTGAGGAGAACATGCTCCACTTCCATCTAAGGCGGCTCTTGGCATTTATGCAATACATGGGCTGAACTTCTGAACCAAACAGTAACGTGGCCTGCAGGCCACTCCCATCCAGCTATTCCTTTGTGGGATGAGGAACACGGCATCATGAGCTGCTGAACAGACATGGACTGGAAAGCAAATCCTCGCTTGGGCAGTAGCAGGAGATGGAGTTTGCAGATGGTATTTGCATGCAAAAAAACGCACAAATCATCCCAGACCTGGCCCCCATCTTCTTAGTGGCACCTCCCTTCTGTACGAAGACCCCAACTTCCCAGTCGCAGTCTCATCAATGTCAGTGACCCGTATCTACCCACTGAAGGCTGCACCTTGGATATCTTTGCCTAAACCCTAAACCAAAAATAGTAGTTTCCATTTGCTTTTCCATAACCCCTTATACAATCCCTATATAGACCCTTAAACCCGAATGATCAGCCGAGGCGCGCAGACCTTCACCGGCCGCGTCAAGCCCTTCGGGGGCGGAGCAGAAGCAGCGCGACGCGGCATGGCTGGTGTGATGGCGTTTGAGCTGTAGTCCAAATTGCTGTAAGGGAGGTTTGCCGGGGGATTGTATGGGGAGGGATACAGAGTATAGCTCATTGCAGGGTGAGTGATGCAAGTGGTAGGAGGAAGAGGAGTAATTAGTGATGGTGATGGTACTGGTGGTGGCAGTAGTGATCGTAGTAGCAGTAGGAGCCTCCATAGCATGATGCCAAGGCTTGCAACTCCTTATTCTTGTGGAGGCCGAGCGATCTACCAGAGGACATCAAGTAGGAAGCACGAACATCAGGTGTTGTCTCAAGGCTTCGTTTATGAAACCTTTGTATATGCTCTCATGGCGCTTGAGTAACTTTCTTGGTGAACAGCTGGTCACCGAACCCAACAGCGTCTGGCTTCGAGCTGCTGAGAGGATACGGACATGCGAACGGCGCAGCTAGGGTGATTGTTTTAGCACTGTGGCATTGACGCCTTTCACATGGCCAGCGTAAACTTCAAAACAAAAACGCTAGAGCCCACCTTCACCCTTCAAACGTCATAGTTGCTTCAGGCCGTGCGGCATAAGCAGGCTCGGAAACAATTCAAAAAAGCGGATCTCCTGGTCAAGGAGGGAGTTTGGACTGCGCTGTTGCGGCAGAGCAACCGCTCGCCTACAAGGAATTTGACACCCCCATCCCCTGAATGCAAGGCTGCTAAACCAGTTGTCAGCTTCTTTTCGAACCATGCTCGAGTGAGAGACACTTGGCTCGTGCTCGTCTAGAGGTGAAACATCAGACACCATAACATGAACCATGCCCAGAACACCGAGTAGAACTCCTATTCCACTGGATCCTGCAGCCTATGCCTGATCCCAATCCTACAACCCTTGAACCCTACAACCCAAAACCTCCTTTAGCCCGCACTCCTCACTTGCTCTCAGCCTCCTTGGCCTCCTCTTTCTCCGCTTTGGCCTCGGCTTCTTTGGCCGCGGCCTCCTCGGCCATCTTCTTCCGGTGCTCTCGGGTCATGTCCCGCACCTTGCTTGCACAAGTAGCCGCTGCTGTGGTAGTTGTACAGGTTGTGGAAATGGGAACTGATTGAAACGATGTTAATCGCCGTTGCAGAAGTTGTTGTGGTTCTTGAGTACTTGGCGGTGGTGTTGGTGGTAGCAGCGATAACAGTAGGAATCACAAGGGCAACAGTGGTAGCAAAGCTGGTTACTTGCTTTAGTTCAAAAATGCCAGAAGCCAATGCCCGCAGAGGGTTTACCATCGCATGCACAACAACAAGAACAGAATGGTGGTGAAGATGATGGTAATAACGATAATGATAATGGCAGCAAGGAAGGAGGAGGAGGAGGAGGAGTACCAAGTAGTGCTTTAACTTGCTAGCACCACCATCACCACTAGGACTACCACCACCACCACCACCACTGCTACTACTAATAATACTTCTTCTACTCCTACCACCACCACCACCACCACCACGACCACCACCACCACCACCACCACCACCACCACCAGCAGCACCAGCACCAGCACCAGCACCAGCACCAGCACCAGCACCAGCACCAGCACCAGCACCAGCACCAGCACCAGCACCAGCACCAGCACCAGCACCAGCACCAGCACCAGCACCAGCACCA